CAGACACCCAGACGGTGGCCGGCTTGCCCTGCAGTCTGCCGAGTTTCCACGTGCATGCAGGATGTCACATCATCCAGCAGATCTTTGAAAAAATATTTTTAAGGTGTTTTTTTCCCCTTGGGAATCCACTTACTTTTTTCCTTCTCTTCAGTATTTTTTACCATGTTGACTGCGTATATCTTTATCTCTTAATCACTTCATAATCGTTTTTTTTTTTTTTAAAAAAGCATCTGTCCCTAACCACAGGCCATGTTATGTCTGTCTTGGCGCTTATCTCAGGGAGTGGGAGGTAATCATTTATGATGAAAGTGTTTATTGCCCCTAACAACTTTCCTGTTGGACACTTCTTTCTTTGAGATTTCTATCCAGATCTGAAATAGAAAGTTTTTCTCTGAATACATATAATATACAAAACTCATTTGCATCTGCTTATTACTGTTATAGTTAAAACAATTAAAATATATACTTCTTCCCAAAGGTCAGTTGTATTAAAAAAAGTGTATGTATTTTATTTTTATTCTGTGTATTGAGATTACTTTTCTCTTTCTTATTTATATTTCAGTTTCTGTTTAATGTGCAGGTTTTCAGTAACAATATATCTGTGATTTATGAACCCAGGTAAAGATGTACTGTTATTGGCTATGTATTACCACCCTAAAGAATACACAATATATTTTCTGCAGTCTAAGCTTATTTGCTACCAATTATCCATAAAAGACTTCTATTTACAAAATTGTGGCCAGGTCTTTTTGCCCTCTGTTGTGTGTTCTGGCATAGTGGAAACAATCCTTTATTTCCCCTGAAAGCATAGTGCCTGAGTCCCAATCCACTGGAAACAGAAATGTGGGGATAATCTGGGTTCATAAAAGCTTAGAAACTCATGGTGCTCATGTTACATAAGCTGCCATTTTTCTCTACCTTGAATGTTAATCAAATTGTAACTTTTTTCTCCCTTTGTTTTTCTTGTGTGACCTTAACCAATTATGTAATTTTATGTCATCAAGCATTGACACATTGACTATGTGTTTGTACATCGTCACTTCATATAGGGAGATTGCAGTTCCTACTGCCTGATATATATCCAATAACTACTAATTAGGAGCTTATTTCAGACAGCCAAACAACTTGTAAGTAAGTGTACTGAGAGTATTGATAGTACAGATATTAACACGCATAGAAAGGACAATATTATACTAATCAGTTGTATTTCTGATTTTAACTCTATTGTGAAAATTCATTACAAGATATACCATTTAACAACATCCCTATTTAGAAATTGACAGAACCCTCACCTAGCTAGGAAATAAAAAACCAAATTCAAACATATTTGTGAAGCTTATGTGAGTAGCTTCATAAAAAAAAGTTGTGGTTAACAACAACACAGAATAAAACAACTGAGAATCTCCAGTAGATGTAGAATATAAAAGTAACTTCTGAAAGAAAATGAACAAGGGCCTAGCAACACAGCAGAGAAGGACATTGGCTGTGGTTCCTGTTCTTGATAAGATGTATGATCTTGAGCAAATTATGTAGCCTCTGTGGTATACCTCCAGATTGATCATGGGGTTCATTAGACTCTAAGCTACTTAATGGCAGAGACTCAGCCTAACTCAACTCTGTATTCCTAGACCCCAGCCCCACTGCATGTGTATATTAGAGTGCTTTCCAAAGTATTTACAAACATAAATATTAAGCTATGCATTTAATATCTTGTAATAATTCTTAAATAGTCAATAGTGATTTTTTAAGTAGCAGCATGAAGTCTCAGCTCCCTCGTAGTTTTGTTTGTTTTAGTTCTGATTTTTTTTCTTGCAATAATTGAATGCATGACCCCTATCTGGCATAATGGTAAGCATATACAGATGTCAATGTAATAATAATGACTTGTTTTTAGAAACAAAGAATTGTACTATATTTTGTGAGTTTTGGAGGGGGTGGATGAAATGTGTTTTCCCTTCAGAAATAATACTGTAAGTGACAGTTGTGTGCCTAGGCCATTTCTCAAATTTCTTTTTGACTCATATACCTTAAACTTACCGTAAAATGATTATTACAGTTATAGACCCCAGTACATAGCTAATCACCAAACTCATGGAGAAACTCACTACACATTCCACCAGGGGTTACAAAAACATGTTTCTCTCTACTCATTCTTTCCTTCCTACCACCCTCAGCATGGGCAGAGAGGATGAGGTGGAGTAAGGATCCAGGACCATAGATTCCAGAGATTTGCGTATTCTTTATGGCTGCAATAGAAGAAAACAGTTGTCTAGATTGGGAGATCAGAATCAGAAGACAGAAAGTTAGTCCTCTGATGATATAATAATTCAAGTCCCAAATTCAGCTTTGCTGCCATCCATTCAGAAACATGGTTTGCTGCCGTGGGCACCCATAGCAGATCTGGCCTTTAAATGTCATCTCCTACTTAAAAGAACTAAACTCCTATAGGGAGTGGCTGATTCCAGGTCTGATGCAGAAAATATGTAAGTTGTAATGAGACATTACAACTTCTTGCTTTTTGTTAGGCCAAAAGCAAGAAGCTTATTAAAGAGCTTCTGAGACCATGTTTAAAGGACACAGGAGGAGCGCCTGGGTGGCTCAGTCGTTAAGCGTCTGCCTTCAGCTCAGGTCATGAACCCAGGGTCCTGGGATCGAGCCCCACATCGGGCTCCCTGCTCAGCAGAAGGCCTGCTTCTCCCTCTCCCAGTCCCCCTGCTTGTGTTCCCTCTCTTGCTGTCTCTCTCTCTCTCCATCAAATAAATAAATAAATAAATCTTTTTTTTTAAAAAAAAGGACACAGGAAACAACTTGAATGGGCTAACACTGACCAAAGATGGGACCATTTAAAAAAAAACAAAACAAATTATTTTATTGTGGATAAAACACTTTACATAATTCAAACATGTAAAAGTAAAGAGAAGCTTATAAGAATTCCTAGATACCATGGGGCATCTGGGTGACACAGTTGGTTGAGCATATGATTCTTAGTTTCAGCTCAGGTCATGAACTCATGGTTGTGAGTTCAAGCCCCGCCGTCCAGCCCCATGCTCAGCATGGAATCTGCCTGAGATTCTCTCTCTGTCTCTCTCTCTGTGCCTCCCACTCGCTCTCGCTCTCTCAAGTAAATAAATAAGTCTTAAAAAAAAAAAAAAAAAGAATTCCTGGCTACCTTTCAAAAGTACAGCTTCAACAGTTATCAATGTATGGTCAGTCTTATTTCAGTACCAGCCCTACCCATGATCCCAGCCCACCCCTGGCTTTTTTTGAAGTAAATAGCACAGCATATTTAACCTGCAAATGTTCAAGATATATCTCTTAAGAGTTAAGAACCATTTTAAAAACATAACCATGGTATCATTAAAAAATGAGACAGATCAGACATCAAGAAGAGGGGCGCCTGGGTCATGCAGCACAATCTGCTGGAGATTCTTTCCCTCTCCCCCTACCTCTGCCCCTCCCCACCATGCACACTCTTGCACTCACATGCTCTCTCTCAAATAAATAAATCTTTAAAAAAAATCAAGAACAACTGTGATAGGCTGAGCCACATCAGATATATACAAATGATGATGACATTTTAAAAACCCTCACAGCTCACCTTCAGAGATTGGTAGGCATAAGCTCATTACTCTGGAAATTGTTGAACAAAAGGAAAGCATCAGAATTTATCCTACCTCTGCTGTACACCTTGTATTTCAGAATAGCCAAATAGTTAATAGGACAGAACTCTTGGTAGAATGCCAACAAGTAAAGATAGAAGGAATGCTTTTGAAAAACATAATTTTGGAGCCCCTTCTGCATAATTAATTTACCCAAGGATTATCATAGGATGCTAAAACCATCAAGTGAAAGAAAATTCATAATGGATGGTATCAGCCAACCTGAATTCTGAAGCCATTAATGGATCTTAGTACCACCAAAAGTGAGACATCTTAACATTATGTACCTCCCGGTGTGATGTGGTAAAAAAAAAAAAAAAAAAAAAAAAAAAAAACACACATCTCAACACATGTAGCAAATTCTTACCAAAAACAGAGAAAAACAAAAAATCAGAAATAGTGTAACCAAACTTCCAGATGTGACTGCCAGTTTATAAGAAGAGGATAGGAATCACATGTTCAAGGACACAAATGGCACAAAGGACGGGGAAGGTGAAACTGATAGTCTCTGAAGGAGACTTGACAGACATAGCAACCAAATCGTGTTAGCCATGTTGAGATTCTGGTCCACATAAACTAAAATATTTTGGGGGTAATAAGGGCATATGAGAATGGTCTGAGAATAGAGGATGTTAAAGAATAATTGTTCATTTGTATGGTAAGATAATGATATCTGTTAAGGATATATATTGAAGTGTTTACAGGTGAAATGATAGGTTGTCTAGCATTCGGTTCAAAACCTTGCTATTCAGTGAGGGACTTTCAGATCCAGCAGCACTAACTTCACCTAAGAGCCTGTTAGAAATGCAGAAACTCCAGCCTCATCCTTAGAACCCAATAGAGTCAGAATCTACATTTTTACCATGATCTCCAAGAGATTTATAATAAGCACATTAAGTATTGAGAAGTACTGCCTTAAAATAATTGGGGTGACAGATAAAAGAAACGAGATTGGCAAATATTGATTATTGAAACTAGGGGTAAGTGCGTGGGGATATAATTGATTATAAATTAAGTATTTTTAAACCAGGGACTGACAGGCTAGATCATTGTGTGTGTGTGTGTGTGTGTGTGTGTGTGTGTGTGTGTGTGTGTGTGTGTATTCAATCCAGTGATTTGTTTTTTGTCTATTGGTTTGAGCTGTAAGTGTTGACATCAGTATTGCCTGATTCCCTCCCCTTCTTACTGCACAGCTTGTCAAGTTACTGAGTAATGTTAAAAAATCCTGAATTCATATTTCTCTTAAAAGCATTCTTGTCAAATCAAGTTATTCCTTTAAAATTTATGAAAAAGACTTATTTTAACTACTAATGCCAATTTATGGTCAACTCCTCCCTCTAGGCACACTTAAAAAGACCTCTTAGGAGTCTTGATGGTACTCTGTATGATGATGACTATGACGAGAGAGCGAGCAAGTAAGTCGTGATGGATTTTACTGTCCTGCTAAGTGTTGTGGCTGAAAGGCAGACGTTTTAGGATTTCAAAAGATAATCAAAGGATGTAGACTCCTAGAGATCAGATTTTGCTCTCTTGCAATGTTCTTCAGCAAAAGGAACCAGTACTCATTGGAGTCTCATGGGGGATGAATCTTGAGATGGGAAAGCAAGCTAGACCTGAAATACCTTGTTCTTGGAAAGCGGTAAGGCCTACAGAAATATCTGCGATAGTGTTAAAGGGGAAATAGGAGCCCACCTAAGTTGGGCCCCTACCCTGCTCATGGAGAGGGGCAGGCTAAATGGTAGCAACAGTGATAATAGTCAATTAAAACAAGGTAGGGAAGGGGAGGGGTTTAAATCTGTGGTGATACCAGAAAAGTAAATTTTAAGACAAAGTATTAAAAATTAATTTCACCATAAAGTAAGGGCAATAACAATAGTGTTTTTTTTAAACAACTTAAACTTATATGGGGGTGACAAAATGGACAGTCTTTTTTTTCCATTAAGTATATCTTTGTCTATATAAAGGAATATGCATTCTTCTCTAAAATAAGTGAATAAATAAATAAAGGGAAAACCACATGCGAACATTGAAAGTGAACTCAGGCTATAGCAGGCTTTCCAAAAGTTCCATCTACTATTTCTAAGGCTAATGTCCCAAATCCCACAGAACTAGTGTGAAAAGTGCTGCTTCTGCTTCCAGATTGAGTAAGGTCCCATAGCTATTTGTTTGTATTTTCTTAGTGCACGTACTCAAAATTTCCTGTATTTGAATTGGTATACACACATCACTCTAAAGAATTTGGCCATGAACCAGTTCACCATTTTGTTGATGTTCCGCTGAGAAGCACTTTGGTTTTAAGACTCTCTCACTAATTGAATGTTGTTCACATACATGTGTAGGTGTGACTGCTAATGCATGCTTCCTTTTCCTTCAGGTTGTCCTCTGAAGATGGAGAAGAAGCTTCTGCTTATTTTTATGAAAGTGATGACTCCGTTGAAACAAGAGTAAAGACCCCTTACTCAGGCGAAATGGACCTCCTAGGAGAAATCTTAGACACATTGAGCACACACAGCTCAGACCAAGGAAAGCTAGTGGCAGCGAAGAGCTTGGATTTCTTCAGATCAATGGATGATATTGATTATAAACCTACGGTTAGTTGATTTTTTCAACCTATAAAATTAAATGAGGGGGCGCCTGGGTGGCTCAGTTGGTTAGGCAACTGGCTTCGGCTCAGGTCATGATCCTGGAGTCCCAGGATTGAGTCCCGCATCGGGCTCTCTGCTCAGCAGGGAGTCTGCTTCTCCCTCTGACCCTCCCCCCTCTCATGCTCTCTCTCATTCTCTCTCTCAAATAAATAAAAATCTGTTGAAAACATTCTTACCCTTTGGTGTGCATTTCCTCATGTTACAATCTTAGTTGGTCAAAGCATTTAACCTCTAACAGGGAAGTAGTCAACTCTTCAAAAATATGAGAAAATTTAATCATTAAGAATTATTTCTAGTTTCAGAATTCTGTATTTTCCCATTTATGTATCGAGTTCTGGTGGTTATTGACATTCATTGAAAAAAATTTTTTATCAAGCCATAATATTCTCTTACTATCTAGTTTTATAGTTGTCTTTTCTGGGGAATTTTTTAAGTGTGAAATGTTCCCACTTTTTTTTCCATATTTCCTGGATCTTCAAAAATATGTTTAAGAAATGTCTCAATTCAAGTACTTTTTCATTATATTGCTTCAAAAATGAAGAGTGTTTTAAACATAGTGAAATGAATGTTTTAAAAAACACAAGAGATGGAAGTGTGAGTAAATGGCCACCCTGTGGTGATTGTAATTCCAGAACTTCGCTTGATGTAGTTGGTCTATTTGGGGATTTTGAGGGGCTGGGGATTGGCAGGTTCTTTTCATTTACTTTTTCAGCTTTGTTGAAGTATAATTGACAAATAAAAAATTGTATATGTTTATGTATTTTCTTGTTAATAGAGCCATTTGCAGGTGCTCAGAATTAATGCTGTATTTCCTCTGTGGGGAACTTCCCAGTTGTCAGCCTTGAAAGATATTAATATTTTATTTCAAAATGGAAAAAAAATGCTCATGTAACATTATAATCTCATTAAAATTTTTCTGAATTTGTTGTTTCTTCTTTCAGAATACATCCAATGCACCCAGTGAGAATAATCTGGCCCTGCTTTGCAGTGGTTCTGGTGATCAAGCAGAGTGGCATCTCGGGCAAGATGATAGTGCCCTCCATGGCAAACACCTTCCTCCCTCTCCCCGGAAGCGGGTTTCCTCCAGCGGTTTGACAGATTCTCTGTTTATCCTGAAAGAGGAAAACAATGAAAAATACCTCAATGTTGACAATATGAGGGAGCCTGCGGTCATGGAAAAGCCAGCTTCTGCTTCAGGGTTCGATCTACAGCTTGCTTCACCTGAAGTTTCCGAAAATGAAAAAGCTAAAACAGAAAAGAAAGAAACACTAAGCCAGATTTCAGACGATCTGCTTACACTCAGCCTTGGGCGACGTTCATCTACTTTTGTTCCTTGGGAGAAAGAAGGGAAAGAAGCCAAAGAGACTTCAGAAGATACTGGACTACTTCATGAAGTAGTGTCATTATGTCACATAACATCTGCCTTCCAGCAAGACTTAAACATTTCAGAAGAAAACACGAGTGGAAACCACCCTTAAATCAACTATTAAGAGTCATTCACTTGCATCCAAACTTCTAAGGAAACATTTTAGAATTCCTTGTAATCTCTATAGTAAACAGATTTGTAGGAATGAGAGTTCTTAGTACTGTCTAAAAGTTATTTTTCATTTGGAACATACATTTTCCCCACTCATTCATCTCATGAATATATATTATTGATTGATTTTTAAATGTAAAGCTGATTCTTCTACTGTGCTCTTAAATCAGGTACTAGTTTGTATGTATATTGGAAGTATATGTCAAACATGATTTCCCAGTATTTGGTGCTTAATGCCATTCATTTTATTTAAACCAATATGCATATATAACCCTTGCACATAACCAGTAGCAACCCTACTAATCTGGTTGAGCATGAACTGGTCAGTATATCAAAACTTATCAAAACTAGCCTGAAACTGCTGAAACTGTTGACCCACTAACTGCCTTAATCCTAAGCCTATATTCAGCATACTTTAATAATTTATGGAATTACCTGTAAATTTTGAAGGATAAGTTATAAGTGTTCTGCAGAGCAATAATGCCTTTTTCTATTCGTTGAATCAAGGACAAAATTCATTTTTCAAAGTTTAAAAGCTCTCTTGTGGACACTGCAGCCATGTTTTCCAAAATGTATAAAGGTACACATTTACCTTTCACTCAGTGAAATATATGAAGTGCTGAATTACAATGTGAAATTAATGACTTCTGTTTACAAATGAGACACTTTAAAATTTTTTCAGTCTCTCAGTATGCCTTTGCTATCTAGGAATCCAGCCCCAGAAAGCCAGATGCAATACGAACTGTCCTGATAAAGAAATGTTCCTGTCTTTTTTGTTTTTCTTAACTAATAATTCAAAATATTTATCATCTCAAATTTACTTTTCAAAATAATTGACTTTATATTTTAGAAGTTTTAGATCTACAGAAAAATTATGAAGAAAGTACAGAGAGTTCCCATTATGTCCTTGCATACAATTTCCCCTATGATTAATATTTTACATTGGTATGGTACATTTGCCACAATTAGTGAACCAATATTGATAGTCCATGCTTTATTCAGATTTCCTTAGTTTTTCCCTAATGTCTTTTTTCTCTTCCAGAATCCCATTCAAGATACCATATTACATTTGGTTGTCATGTGTCTTTAGATTCCTCTTGGCTGGGATATTTTCTCACTTTCCTTGTTTCTGATGACCCTGACAGGTTTAAAGAGTACTGATCTGTTGGTCGAATATATTATAGAATATCCCTCTATTAGAATTTGTTTGCTGTTTTTCTCATGATTACACTGTGATTGTCGGCTTGAGGGAGGAAGATTACAGAAGTAAAATGTCATTTTTATTACATCATACCCAAGGTACATAATGTCAGCATGATTTGTGAATGTTGATGTTGACTTTGATAACCTAGCTGAGGTGGTGTTTGTCAGGTTTTTCTTCTATACTCTTTTCCACCTCCCTTTCTATACTGTAGTCTTTGGAAGAAAGTCACAGTGTACAGCCCACACCTAAGGAGTAGGGCTTTATGCTTCCTCTCCCTTAGGGTGGAGTATCTACAAAAATTATTTGGAATCCTTCTGCATAGGAGATTTGTCTCCTCTCCCTTAAATTCACTGCTAAACACTGAAATTCATCTCAGAAGGGTATCATGCATTGACTGCTTCATGATAGGCTAGATTGACAGGAAAAAATAAGGGGAAAAAACAGTGGTGTTACAGTTAATTTGGTATTTGTATATTCAATATATATTCTGTACATCCCCAATCATGATTATTTTTTAAAAATTGTCATTTTAGAAAAGTTGTTTGAGAAACCATTCAAGAGCCCCATCAGGACTGTACCCTAAAATATTTACTGAAAGAATTTAATTTTCAGTTAAAAAAAAACCCTAGAAGGGGATTTGTTAAAAACATTGCTTAAAAATATGTATCCAGGTCAGTCTTTAAATAATTTAAAGAAAATGACCAAGTTTTTTTCTTTTCTAAGCTACATTCCAAAATCTAAACAGGTATGTTTTATTGGGTACAATTATTCATTCATGTTTGTAAAGGAAGACAAATCTTGTTTTCCTTATAAGGAGGGAGTCTGTGTATATTAAGGAAAAAAGTGTTTAATACTTATTTTATTAACACAAAAGTAAGACTCTTGGTTCTTGTCAAATTTTGCCTTTATATACTCATTACCAAATTCCATTTCACTTTGTCAAAGCATGTAGATTTATCAGAAGAGCTGTTTTAAATGAGAAGGAAAAAAGGTCACTCTGGTGGCTAATCTGCTTGGCAAATATTTCTTTGTGATTTTTTTAAAAGAAAAAGTCTTTTAATGTGACTATTGAAATGCATGTTTTCCTTCAGAATTCATAGTCTGAAAAATGAGATAATTGTGAGTGTAGCATAGGTAAAATTGGAGTTTTAGTCCATTTGCTTAATAAACATCGTGGCCTCAGAAATGTAGGTTCTTCTACCATCTGATCACCTCATGAGATGTTTGACTACAAGACTGTTGCCGTGAGGCCACTTCCAAGTATATTTGCATCAAGGTATTTTGAACTGGACCTGTGCCTTATTCTAACATGCAAAATCAGCTTTTATATTCTGTTAAAAAACAAAAGCTCTACATGTTATTCTTGGAAAAAATCCGGAAAGCTAGTATCCAAGAGACTACTAATCCAAAAGTATTAGTATTTCAAATCATTAATATTTTGAGTATTCAGTCTGCTTTAAACTAGACTTCCCAGTATTATGGTGGATATAGGGAGAATAAAGTGAAATTAAGGTGAATTCTGAAACAAACAAAAGTATTATTTTATTTTCTCCTATTATTCATATTTTCTATTATAACTAAATGAAATATTTGTATAAACTCCTCTGCTGTTTGCATTTGTTTTTCAAAGAAGCTTTACCTGTTCTACCAGAGTTGTATAAATGAATAAGTCTTTGGCTATCGTGCATAGTCTTTTATGTGGTCACTAAATCGTCATGATTCTCCCTGAATCCCACTCTAGCTTTTATCCTTTGTGTCCTTAAATTTTGCATCTATGATATTTCAGGGGGAGATAGAAGAGTCATGTGTGAATTTAAGAGCTATTGTTTTGTTACGTCAACGTGTTGTTAAGTGGTAAATTTTGATGGTTACCTACTTTAGCATATTTTAGGAAGACACCAAAACATAGCAGGATGATTTTTCTGTTCATAACTCATTGCACTTAGGAAATATTTATCGACCCTTTGTACCAGTCATATACAAGGTACAGTAACTGGGGATATAAGGAAATAAAATAAGTCACATAGTCCCTGCTCTGAAGGAACCAATTAAAAGGGAAAGAAATGACAAATCTCTGTTAATAATAATAATGATATATTTTGCTTAAAAGTTATTAGCCCAAGGTTCTAACACCAAAAAAAAAAAAGTCCTTTAAAGCTGCTTAATCTAAAACATGCTCTAAGTATAGAACCATGGTACCACTTCTAATTTCATTAACTTTATTATTTTAATGAAGTATAATAATGCTGCTATTTTAAGATATCTACTTTTAAAGGACAGACTTAGAAGCTCTTAGAAACTAAGTGTCCTTGTTTCTCTGATTCTCTGTCCCCACTATGTTCAATCTTTTGACCAGGCAGCACAGAGCTCTAAAATGGCATGGTGCTCCTTTGCAATCATTAGACCACTTTACTTACTTTAGGATTAACTGAGGGTGTAGTTGCATGTTGATGGAAACTAGTTTTTACTGTCTTTATCTTGATAATAGCATTTCTCTAGAAACAGCCTCCCCTGTCCCCACCTCTTAAATTAAAAGTGTATTTAACAGTGCTGTTGTTCAGATTCTGTGCTAATATCCTTATAATGGGATTCAGGAATGTTCATGAATTAGTTGTTTTTCTTAAATAACATGAAGAGGTAGTCTCCTGATTAAGAGGAGAAAACTGTGAATATTCTCATAATCAGCAGTGGATCTTCCTTCTCATCTAGAAAATCTGGAATTTCGGGAAAAGATTATTTTCATGAATAAATTTGTTTAGCATAAAAGACCCTGACTCTGGGTATATACTCTAAGTCAGAACACAAATTTCAGAAAGTGAGATGAATACCCAAATCTAATTCCCTAAAGCACTTCTTAATATAAGGAAATAGCTTTTACAGATTCTGTGTCAGGACCCACGTCTTTGCTGTGTTGAGCCCGTTACTTTGTTAGTGTCTGTTTCTTAAAGCTTACTTAAGAAGCAGAATGGTTCTGAGCAAACTGGTTAACATTGTTATTCAGTCAAGATATAGGGAATCGTGTATTTAGAAAGAAGCATATTTTATTTTGAAAATAATAGGATTTTGTGCAATATTTTTCCTGCATAATTTAGTTCATATAAATATGCACATCTGCTTTTCTAGCAGATGCCTTAAGGTCATGTTTTTCAGTATTTGTGTAAAGCTGTATGTAGCAATGTTCTATGTGATCTTAGAAAAAATTCTTTATATTGTTGGCAGGAGATATGTTTTTGTTTATTTAAAATAATTATGGATATCGCATTATTGTATCATAACTAACTGCCTCAGCAACCATAAATATGCAATAAGAAAATCCTGAACCTTAGGTTAGTATTGACAATACTGTTACTTTAAAAGAAATGTATATAGTGCAAAATGCTGATTCTACATGTGTACATTTAACAAATATTCAGTTCTGTACCACATAAATCTAAATGGCATTTGTATGGTGATGACCACATATGTAGATTGTAATATCCTTTGTGATGAATCTTTGGTAAGATTTATAAAGGGCATTGCCAATACTTCTTGACTGTCTATAAATTAAGTTAATTTTTGTATAATGTACAGTTTGTTTAAGCTTAGAGCTTCTATAGATTTCTACTTTTATTATACTTGAATGAGGCAGAAAAGCACTGTGGAAAATCTGTAGCTCTCGATGTGATATGCATACATACCAAAAAATTAAACAAGGTACTGAGCAGCAAAGTCAAGTAGATGCTTTATATCCAGAAAGCTATGTTTTCTTCAAACCATACTTTAGTTAAGTAATTTAAAATATACAATCTTTTATCTTAAAAGGTTGCAAAATCACAAATGATTACCTCTTTGATGTGAGAAAC